GTGAGGCAAATGCTGCCTATCCTCTCCCAACTGCTGCAGCATCAGGACAATGAGGTTCTCTCAGACACCTGCTGGGCTCTGTCCTACCTCACCGATGGCTGCAATGAACGCATCGGGCAAGTGGTCCACACAGGGGTCCTGCCCAGGCTAGTGGACCTCATGACCAGATCGGAACTCAGTATCTTGGTAAACGTCTTTCTGGGTCCCAACCGTCTCTGTAAGGGCCTTGAGATTCAAATTTGAAAGCCAGATTCACTTTGTAAGATTCTGTTTCCCCATTCCTGGTCTCTCCACAGTCGGCTCTAATCCTTTGCTTGGAACAAAGAATGTCATCTGCATTTCCCTGGTCTTTGCCATCCTCTAACCAAAGATTTGGGTCTATTTTGATCTAAAAATAATAGTGGTTGTTAAAGGGCCTTTCTCTTGTGGTACTGGGGATTGAGCCCAGAGGCATTTTGCCACTGAACTACATCATCAATCCTTTTTTTAAAAATTTTATTTTGAGGTGGGGTCTTGCTAAGCTGCTGAGCTTGCCTCAAACTTGCAATTCTCCTGCCTTAGACTCCCAAATTCCTGGGATTATAGGCATGTACCAGTGTGCCTGACTAAACGATTTACTTTTTAACCTGATAACTGGAAAAAATATAGAAAACCACCAAGTGAAAATTGCTTATAACCTACCATGCAGGGAACTGCTTTTATGTCTTTCCTTCTAGGGGTCTGTACATGTGAATTTAAACAATTTGGTTTGTACTGTGTGTGTGTGTGCGCACGCATGTGCGTGCGTGCAAGCGAAGTTCACTGTATAATTGAATTTCTTATACAAATATAAAAGAATTATTCCCCCCAATCCATATTCTTAGGTTACCTTGATATAGACAAATGGCAACTAAAACTATTAGCAAACACTTTGATAGGTTATTAAACATGTGCCACCTATATAATATACTGTTTTGAGAGAGGTGGGTATATTCACTCACCTCTACTCTGCCCCTCTTGATTTTTATACCTAATATTATAGATTGTGCAGCCTTAGCAATCATGTTCTGAGCGTGGTAGTGTTTCTCAGATGTTAAGATTGGTTTGGGAATAGAGCTGGGGACACAGTAAAGAGAATAAGAAAAGAAGCAGTTCTTATAAAAGTTTTGGGACTCAACTGGAGCTGTCCTGGCAAGGCTGTGATTGGCCAACAGTCCTGCTTTGGCCTCTCACATGAGTAACAGATATGTAGCCTAATAGGCTAGGAAAACTCTAGAACTCTGGATGGGCTTTCCTGGGGACTGCCACTACAGTGCAGAGAATTCCAGAGAAGTTCAGTCAGTCTCTCTAGGAGAGTTGCTGCCTTGAGACCAATCATTGACCTTTACAATTATCATGAAGTGGGTACATGAATACACCAAGAAATGCCACCATAATCTCATTTGTTCCACTTAAATATATAAAGAAGCTTGATACTAGGGCCAAATACAAATGCAGTGGAAGTTATGACATGATCAATGCTATAATCAGTTTAGTGTTTTCCCTAGTTGAAAGTAGAAGGAGCCACAGCATTTCCTGATAAAGGTATCCCTTGACCTCTATCCTACTTAAGCTAGAACTTTTAGGAAACTGGCCAGTACCTTGAAACTATGTAAGAACAGCCATGGATGTGTGGAATTAATAAGAATTGTGGATTTAATTCTGGTTCATGAGCTTTCAGAGAGCTCACTCCCTAGCATGACTGATGTTTGGGAGGGCACAGAACCAGGTGTGACTGTCACTTTCTACTGTGATAGATTTGCAATACCGGTTAGACTTCTAACTTTGTTCTTCCAGATCCCTTCTCTCCGCACGATGGGGAATGTTGTCACGGGAACAGATCACCAGACCCAGCTGGCCATCAATGCCGGCTTGCTAACTGTGCTGGCCCCGCTCCTGAAGCACTCTAGTATCTCCATCCAGAAGGAAGCAGCCTGGACCCTGAGCAATGTGGCCGCTGGGCCTCACCAGCACATCCAGCAGCTGATTGCTTTCAACATGCTGCCGCCATTGGTGGACATACTAAAGGACGTAAGTGGCACATTCAAAGTCCACAGCAAGAGAGTATTTCCTATGGCCCTGATTCCTTCAGGGATGTAGATGCAGGCTGAAAAGGAAATTGAGATCACAACCAAGCTATGAATCTGTCTGGAAAAAGGAAGGGGGCTTCCATTGTGAAGAGCCTATCAAATATCTGGAAGACTAAACATTGTTCCATGAAAAGGTTACCCCACAGCTCACACATCCATAAAAATCTTGAGCTAGTAAATAATGGCTTATCTCTAATGGCATGGTCAAAGAATATGCCTGCCAAGAGGGAGGAGATTTTGCTTTGTTTTAAGAGGAAAATCTTATCAGGCTATGGTGATGTCATACAGTGGAAAAAAAAAGGTAGCTTTTCGGTATACAAATAAAGTTGATGAAAGAGGTGATCTAAATGGAAAATGGAAATGCAAAAGTAGAAATATAATAAGGCTTCCTTCCACCTCCTGATTCCTACTTCCCTGGGGGAGCAATTATTATCAGTGTTTCATTTCGCAACATTTAAACCATCTATAGTCAGGAGTGGTTAGCGCCGATTGGGTGTGAGGAGGCAGGAGTCATTGCATGGGGAAGAGAAACTTCTCTGTTCTGACATTGGATGTTGGGTTCCCAGGTGCATGTCAAGTAGGAAAAGGTAGGCAGGTGTGCAGTCTAGGTCATGGCATGTTCCAATCATTTGAGCACTACCTGTTCTACATCATACCTGAATCTGTAACTGTTTTAATTTTAAAAATCTAGTTATGAATCAGATAGTACTCATATTTCAAGTCATGTCTTTTGAAATATAATTCATTTGGCACCATACATTATTTATTTTTGTTTTTGTTCAATGCTGAGGCTAGTTTGCCTCAGCCAAAAACAAAAAAAGAGCAAGTTCTTCTCCCTAGGAATAGAAGGATCCATGATAAATTAGGTCCCTATTACTGGGCCAAGTGCTTTTTAGAAATGTAAAAGATTCATTAAGCTGGGCAGGGTGGCACACACCTGTAATCCCAGCGGCTAGGAAGGCTGAGGCAGGAGGATTGCAAGCTCAAAGCCAGCCTCAGCCACAGTGAGGCGCTAAGCAACTCCGTGAGATCCTGTCTCTAAGTTAAATACAAAATAGGGCTGGGGATGTGGCTCAGTGGTTCAGTATCCCTGAGATCAGTCCCTGGTATACACACCTGCTTAAAAAAAAAAAGATTCATTGAGTAATATTTCAGTGGTCTTTCTCTCTGCCTCTGGGCTGATTCAGTCCCATAGATCACTTTTGTGTGACCTAGTACAGAATGTGTCCACAGTTTTACTTGGTCAGGAAGAATAAAAACATAGAGCTGGGTGCAGTGCAGCATGCCTTTGATTCCAGAGGGTCAGGCGGCTGAGGCAAGAGGATCACAAGCCAGCCCCAGCAACTTAGAAAGACCCTGTCTCAAGATAAAAAAAAAAAAAGGCTTGAGTTGGGGCTTAATGGTTAAGTACCCCTGAGTTCAGTCAGAAAAAGGCCACTATCATCTACAATTCCAAGCACAATTCCTAATCTATGTAAATTACCTGGATTATGTTGGTTCTAGTTTCCTTGTAGCCTGACGTAGGGAAATGAGTCTACTTGACCTGAGAAACTACCCCCAAGGACCCATTGGAACGGTTTCCTTTTTCATGGTTTCTTAGATGCCATCTTCTGATCCAGAACCAGAGGCAGGTAGCCAGGGCATTCTACTAAATTGCACATAAAGTCCTGACTGTCACCATCCCACCCAGAAAGTGAACCAAGTCAGCATCACTGTATTTTGTTTCTTTGGGATAAGTAGAGAAGGTCAATGTTCTGTCTCTGCAGGGAGAGTTTAGAGTTCAGAGAGAGGCCGTGTGGACAGTGGCTAATTTCGTCTCGGGGGCCACAGTGGACCAGATATTTCGGCTTGTCCACTCTGGAGTCATGGAGCCACTGTTGAATCTGCTCAGCGTCCCGGACGTGAGGATGGTTAACATCATTCTCGATGTCATCGCTTACATTCTCCAGGTGAGCTCTCCTGAACAGGTTGGTGTGTAAACGGAAGTCTCTAGTTTTAAAACATTGAATTAGGTGCTTCAAACTCAAGTAGGATGCTCTTTCCTCTCCACCCTCCCTAACCACATGTCCTGTGGACAACACAAAACCAAGCAGCTCAATGGAAGGATGACTGCCTTCATTTTCTCAAATGAATGACTTTGTGCCAGGTGCCATTGGGAATACTCAGAATATGCCAGTGCCAAGTCCTTGTTCTGGTAGAGTTTATATGTTAGTGAGGTGGGGGACAGACACACCAGGGAGGGAGTTCTAGATAAAGTCTATCAGATCAGGGATAGTCACTAATTGCTCAGGGTCGGGAATGGATGTAGCTGTCCTATGGGCTGTGGTCAGGAGAAGGAATGCATTTGAGTAAAAATCGAAAGATCCTTTTCCCAGATGTGGATGTCTTGGGCAAAAGGAGTAGCAAGAAGGAGGTGTGGCCAGAACAAATGGATGGAAAATCGTAGGCGATCAGGCTGAAGGCAGGCAGGGGCTGGGTCGTGTAGGGTCTGTGAAGATGATGACTTATTCTGAGTGAGGCCAGGAAACTAGTGGAAGGTTTGAAACAGGATCAAAGTCACAAGTTCTTTATTTTAGAATAATCAGTTAATTGTATTTTAGAAGTGCTAGACAATTCTACTCAGTGTTTAGAAAGATTAAAACATGGGATATCCTGGAAGAGGCAGCAATTTATCAGTGGTCAATCTTGTGGGGCCACCTTGAAGTTCCTGTCCCATTCAGCTATGTCCTTAGGGAAAGGGACTACCAAGGGTGGAACTAGAATTCTAGAAAAGTCTTAGTTCTGAAATAATAAAGCAAAAATTAAGCCAGTGTTTATATGTTATTTGTGTTAGGTCTATATTGCTGCATAACACATCGTTCCTGTGTAGCTTATCTCACAGAACTTTCTGGAGTTAAGAATCTGGGGCCAGCTTAGTAGGATGGTTCTGGCTCAGGGTCTTGCATGAGGTTCAGTCAAGATGTCAGCCTGGGCCGATATCATCTGAAGGCTTCCACTTGGATCAGTTTCCAAGTTGGCTTGCTCACCTGGCTGGTGAGTCACCTCTCCATTGGGCTGCCTGAGCATCTTTACATCATGGCAGCTGGCCATCTATGAAGCAAGACAAAGCAAGCTGGAAGTCCCAATGTCTTTTATGACCTATCCTTGGAGGTCACATGCCATTTCAACAGCACCCTGTTGCTTACACAAGACAGCCCTATTCAATCCAATGGGAAACTGCACAGGGCATAAATACCAGGAGTTGGGGATCATTTGGGGCTATCTTGGAGGCTGGCTATATTCATTTGATTAAGCTCCTTTTATATATGGCTAAGCCATTAGAAGAGCTTCAAAGTAACACCAGGAAATTCCTTTTAAAAATCTACTTTGAGCCTTCTTTTCATGTAACCATCTTAAAATGAACAGACTTCAGTGGAGGCCAGATTTGAAACCTAGCCTAATTACATCCTGACGGTGAGCAAATCATACAGATAAAGGGTGGAGAGTCAGCGGCCAGTAGACAAAGTTGGACATGAAAAGTTTATGAAAACACATTTTCTTGATACCAAGGCTCAGACACGTAGCTCAAGCTCTCATTGAATGAACGATGTGGCTTGCATTATGTTTGATTTGATCCATACATCATTTTTTTTTTTTTGGTCACTGCTTACAACCTTCAGGCTTTATCTCTCTCTGTGTTCCCCAAATATAGTATCTGGCTGAACGACTCTTTTCTCATTTGTGGCATTTGCCTTCAAAACCATTGTCCTTACTGTCCCTTCTTTTAGGAATGCTATTATCCCCAAAGAAAAGATACCTCTGACAAAGGGCCATTCATTCAGGATCTGTGATCCCTTCGAAGCCTGCCCTATGCATTTTCTATCACTCAACCCTGATTGTTTATGACATTGTAATTTTTACTCTGTAACAATTATTTATTTACTGGCTGCCCCCAACAGTGAGTTATAGAAAGACCTTCTCTAAATCATCTCTTTATTTCTAGCTTCGTGAGCCTCACCCATAAGATAAACATTGGAAGGAATGAGTAATCTTGGATGAATAAGCCAATGACTGGCGTTGGATTAAATTCACTCATGTTGTCTACGCTCAATGTAGACAACAGTGGGGCTTCTGTGACTAAGGGTCTCTTAATTTATCTCTTAAAGCTTTCTAAGGAAATCAGAGCAAAATGCTTGCATTTACATAGCATTTCTAGAACATTCTTTCAAATTATATTGAAAACAACGTCCATTAGAAGGGAATATCTACTAAACAGTGATAATGTTGTATTTATGGACAGTAATATATTCAGCCAAAAAAAACCCCCCACCATCCCTTATG